AATTAAAGCGTAACACATTAATTTTTTATCCTGACTTAGTAATTACATTTAATTATTAAGATACTGCAAACTATAATTCCAATAAGCATCAAATCAGTTTAGCGAATATAAATGTATTACCTCATTATTTATGATTATTTTATAGAAATAGATAAATTAATGTTTTATGTTATGTTTTTATTTACAAGCATTTAAATAATGATACAATTTAGGTATTGTAAAACCTTGATTAATATTATGAAAATTAATATAAGCTCTATAATTTTTTAAAAACAATAAATTGAATGTAACTATAAAAAAAGTACCTAAAACAAATTGATGACTAATTCCCAAAGATTATATAATAACGATTTATTTATTATTTGACAACTATTTATTAGGATTAAATAATTCCAACGTTGAGTGTATGAAATAAATGTTAAGCAAATTGGATTGTTCGAATTGTAAAATATACACAATTAWAGTTATTGAGTTTTTAAAAAATTATTTGAGTTTATTAAGAATGATGACATTTTTTAATGAGAGATAAAAGGATATTGATTGTTAAACGTATACGAGTATACGAAATAAGCATATTCAAATTTCACAATAACTGAAATGTACTAATATTGTTTGGGACTTATCGTAAATCAAGTGTCAAAACTATAAAAATATTATTAATAATATAAAATATCGATGAGAACCTATCGAATCATTATTATTTTTTCTTATATAATAAATATATTATATTATAATAGTCCAACTTTCAATTTAACAGAACGTCTTAAATTTAAAAGTTTCATAAGTTTTTAACATTTATACACAAAACTGATGTTCTGTGGTGGACCGGCTAAGTGTTATGTATGTGCTGTAAATGTGTACAAAGTTTTATTTAACACTTTTCCTCTATCTTTAAAACCACAGTGGATAAACTTGGTGTTTACCAGGTTACATAAACGACGGGGTAGTCGCCAGTCGGTAGGCAATTTTGCTTCGTTCTCGTAATCAACTGCAACGTGTTGTTAGACATGTACCGTATGTGGCGTAATAACTAATAATAGTTTTATTTTGAGTTATTCTCAATGTGCGTTCAATATAAAAAYTACGTGCTTAATAATAATTCAAATTTCATTATTTTCGATTTTATTAGAGATATATCATTGTTATTCGGTTGATTAGTAGTTATTTAGGTAATTAAAAGAGCTTAAAATACATTATTTGAACAGCAGTTGTTATACATTTTGTACACAGATCAAAGTAGTTTTACATTTTTATACAATCGTCACTTTGCTGTTAAGATTTTCAAAAATAATTTGACCAACCATCAATAAAAGAAACATAATTAYACATTTTTTAGGGGGTCACGTGTAAAAACGTAACATATTTCCTATTATTATGTGATTCACGCATGCATCCTAAGATATTATAATACTGTGGTTAGTCGTTTTCAATWAGTCTCGGATTTTCTTGTATATTGTATAATATATTATATGCCTAAATATTATCATAAATTGCTCTTACACATGACTGTTAGCCGAACGACGTTGCTCTCGCCGTCTCCCTCCACGTTGCTAGCCAAACACGAATAGTTCCCCGCTTGCTGTCTCTTGACGTTTTGAAGTGCCAGGTCCTTTTGATTCATAATCACACCGCTTTTCACATTTCCCTGGACCACTTGACCCTGTGTCCGGTGAACAGAAAACAAACACGTGTAGGTATTCATTATTAAAACGCACTCATTACCCTGGACTGTATTCAAGGCATTATATTTTTCACGTGAAATATAAATGAATTCAGCAATAGAAACTATACAGAGTAATCAGAAAAATACACATATATGCTTGAATATAACACTTGAACGGAAATGTATTTTTTTACTATTATTATTTTTATTTTAACCGCACAAAACATTTTGCCACAAGAACTTACCCTTTTCTGTGTTCTAATGATAACGCTCAAATAATTACGTTATTTCTAATATTAATTTTATATTTTTACAGAAATTTAATGATAGATTCTTAAGTTTGAAAATTAACTAAATACAATTTAGTGTAATAAATAACWATGTTATTAGTAAATCGAGTAGGCTTAGTTTATTTTAAAATTTTAAATATGGTACACAAAAAAATATACTGAATCAATTGGTAAATTGATCAACAATGATTTAGTTAATCAAACTTAAACACTATAATAAACTTACATGTTATGTCAAAAGTTTTTTTAAGTTAATTAACTGGCACAGGATTATTCACTTTCAGATAAATATACTAGTATGGTAGGTATTGAAAGTTTATTTATTATAAATTAATTTCCTAAAACAATTTATTTGGTTCATTGAATACTAATCAATATACCACGAAGACCAGTGACTTCAAAAAAATTAATTYTTTTTCGTAATGTATTTTTATTTTTTACTTATATAATTATTGAAAAATTTAACGAAGAAAAAATGGAATCAATTACTACTTTTGTGTTTAGGTTTAAACATTACAGAACGGATTTAAGTCTGTAGATGGCAGTAGCATACCATAATAGATGTCTTATTGGGATATAATGGAAAATAAAAATGATGAACAGAAAATTTAGTTATGAAAAGTAATTATCAAAATGTTTTGACGAAATAAAATGAAAAAAACCCAACGTGTTCATTACATATTTACATCGCAGCATAATTCCTAATATTAATGTTATGGATGAGTAAAACATTTTCAATCAAGAAGTTAACGAGCACCAGTATTACGTGCCAGGTCCTATATACCTTGTTTATCTTTTCTTTCAAATTAACAGTGCTGCAGGTTATATTAATCAGACAGCTATTGGAATAATGCAGAAAAGTGTATTAAAACCGTCCGCGTAACAAGGGGCCACGACGACGTAGAAAAAAATATGCTCGAACAAATAATTTATTTTTACTTATTTTTTTTTTTTTTTATAATTTCAAGTTAAATTTTAATATTTAACTGAATCCAAAGTATCTAGTTTAATTGTATATATTACATATATATATATATATAAATTGTTAGACATCCGTTCACAGTTTCTGAGCGTGCTATTTTTTGCGAGCGCCGTTTATGTATGCACAAAACTCAAAAGCGCTCAGTCACGTCCTACAAACACCTTAACTTGTTGATCTCGTGGACAAGAGGTTTCTATCACTAACTGCAGAACACACAAACCTACACTTTAGATGCAATCGCACTGCGAAGGATTTTGACGGCGGTGTGGTAGCTGATTTTCTTAAGACGCTCCCTGAGAACTGTAATTGTATATAATATGGAGATGCTCGGGAGTATCTTTTAACGGAGGTTATTATTTTATGTCTCTTTATTAACGCCACTTCTGTATTAAAAGTATAAAGTGAGCCGTTCTGTATCTATATCTAAGTCCCCCTCTATTTGGCAACCACATAAAATATGTTCAACGGAGCATTTTTTAATTTTTTTTAAATGGTACACAATTATTGTTATATTACATTGTTTACCACTCTTGATAAATATTGAAAATTGTTCATATAAATTAATCTAAATTTTAAATTGCAAACAGTAAATTGAATATTTTCATTGGTGGTATCTAAGTATTCACTATTAATATTACGAAACAATAAGTATATAAATTATATTGAAAGGAATTGGATGACTCACGTTATGCTTCCAAATAACTTTGTAAGCGGGTGGGTTGGCATCGATCTTGCACTCGAAATATACATCGTCTCCTTCTTCAATGTCTGCCGGATTCATGTTGATTCCCAAAGCCAGTTTCAATATTGGTACATCTGAAATAAATAAGTAGCATTGTTATGAGATTTAAAAAAAAAAAACAATATTGTATGCATGATTCAACAAGGAGTCATACCTTACGACAAAACACAATAATATAATATTYAATCAATGTTTCAATGTCGTATTTTTGTGACCATGTCCTATATGATTTAAAAATCTATATAATTCAAATGTTGAAGAATGTTTTAAATATTATTGTTTAAATGTAATACTAATATTATATAATTACCTAACGAATCAATACTTGAAATGAATTTCATTGTGAAAAGCTCATGAATGTATAATTAAATAAATGCGTAGAATAATTATAAATAAAGGGGAAATATTATAATATTGTGTAATAACTATTTATATTTGAAATAACATATTTATCTAATTTAATTTCTGCGATAAATGAAATCTGATRTTTGTTTAATTAAATTTTATATAATCGTTATATTTGTTTATACTGCATAAAAATTGCATTTTTGATTTGACAACTGAAACAAAACAAATATAAACTTTATTTTTCTCTTTAAAATAAACAATCCTCAGCTAATTTATATATATATTTCTGATAACATGTTAATATGTGTACCTATGTTGAGGTATTTATGTTTCATTGTATATGATTGAAATTATGTATGAATTACAATTCTAATAAAATTTAATTGATAAAAAAATTAAAAAATTAAATTWATAATATGTTATTGTATTAATTAGGGATACATTTATTAAATTTTTGTCTAAATCACTAAATTAATTTCAATTAAATATTATGTTTTTAGTTGGTTCGTTTATATAATATCTTTGATGAAATATTTTTKATAGATCAATTAATTGAAGAACGATATTATTTTGTATGAATCATAAAAACTAAGTAACTTACAGTGCACATCAATCGTCCACGAATCTTCCACTTTTCCACCAGCCATCTCATCTAATTGTTGTACGTTTTGATTCTCGGCTCGGCATACCAATGATTTACCATTATCTGACTTTGTTGGTTGAAAAGTTAAAGTAGATGATGTTATATTGCCATCTGGTGATACCTGTTGGATAAAAACAAATAAGCTTAATATTAGTATACGTTTTCATTAAAGTTAGTTCAAAAGCAAAGTTATTTTCTGTATATTAATATTCTTCGATATCCAATTATTAAAGTGTAGAACTTACATTTCACTCATAAATAATGCCGTTTTAAATTAAATGTATTGAAAACTTAATTAATAGTTTTAAGGTTTTAATAAGACAATTATTTACAGAATATTAATAAAGTTTTTTAAATAGAAAGTTTGTTTTAGTAAAAAAATATAACGCAATTATTATTGGAAATTATCATAAATATAATATACAAAATATGGTATATAATATTATTATAAGTAAAATTAAAAATAATTGTTAAGAATATAATATTACATTTTTAATTTCATACTAAAACTAGTTAAAATTTATAACTTTATCACATTCTTAATTTTAAGTTCAARTAATGAAAACTAGATCATTTTTAACATAATTAAAAATATAAATATAAATGTACTCTCATAATTTAATGAATTACATTCAATTTATACTTAACTTTCGAATTTTTAAGCACACSCATTGATTTTATCAWCATTTATGGGTTAGGATAAGTTTAAATTTTACTTCCTACGAAATATTATTTCCGAGATATCAAATAGGTACTTAGACTATACCTATGTATATGAAAAAGAAAATACATACCTCATGGTTGGCGGAAATACGATAATATTGCTTCATTTTACCTAAGTATACACTTAGATAATATGTTACATTCAGAAATACCAGCCAATATTTCCTGAAGATAGTTACGAAGAGACAACATAATGATAATATTATTTTAAATTGAGCCCAACGATCAATGTATTGATTTTGCAATGATATGTGTTTATTTTGTTCATCATATTWAGAAGTAGTTAAAATAATATGTACGAGTAGGTAGGTATTTAACTTTAACACAATTTTTARTAGGGAAGTGAATCTTGTTTGTATTTTAGGGGTCAAAAGTAAAAAAAAAAATCACTATAAATTTTATATTAATGGGAGGAAGGATGAAATGATAAATTTTTACATAAAACCAAAATTTGATGAATTCGATTTTTTGATTGTATTGTAACTAAAACACAAACACGGTATATAAATTAAATATTCATAACATTTTTATTTTAGCATAATCCACTCGAGGTAAAATTTTCAAAATATTTTGATTGTATTTTGGTTAATGTTTATAGACATTTTTCATTATTTATTTTTTTATAAATCTAAATTAAATATTTATTGCTTAGTATAAATTGTTAAAATGTAATACAATGCATAATAAATGCAATTTTTTCGACATACATCGTATGCTCGTAAAATTTCAGAACTAATATTAGTAACAAATTACTTTCATTGAAGATATCAATAAAAATGTTATAATGAAATATATTTAGTGCTATAGACTATTAGAACGTCTTTTCCTCATTGAATTTTGTATGCAATAATTTATCATTTTTGCACACTTGCATTACAGTGACTTGTTCRTTAATGAGATCCATTGGACACYTATTGTACTGTAAAACGGTTACCTGATTTTTTCCCGTTTCTTCAATAATTTTAACGAGAATAATTTATGAATACTTTTATTTGAATTATGAATGTGTAAATTTTATAATTTTTTGTAATACTGTCGTTAAAGAGAACAATATCTAACTTGATTCAATTATCAACAACAATCATAAACAACAATCATACAACAATCATATGATTAAGTCAACGAAATAAAAAATAAATACATTTTACGTATATCTAATAGMTAGAAGAAACATCAAGGCCATATTGTGTGAATTAGTAAATTTGGAAAAGTATACAAATAAAATTTCGTAATTTTCATCATAACTGAATTGATAATGATTGAGGTGAATTGATGATAATAAACACAATATCACCGGGAAACTACTATAAGTTAGTTCACAAAAATATGATTTGTTTATGTACTTACATTATGTATGTAGGGGCCAAAAATTTCAGAAGAATAAATAAATTTTGAGGTTATGTTTTACGAACCAACCATATTATGTTTACTTTTTAAACTATAATATATTATTTGAATTCATCTTTTTCAGGTAACTATATACTTGAAATAAATAACTAGGGGGGAAAATAGTAATTTATATTCAAGGAGATATAAAAAGAAAGATTTTATAATATTAAAAAATTGTATGTACCTGCAACGTAAAATGTTGTCACAATATCTGTATATTTATTTATGAATGGACGAACTTTTTATATAAATACTAAAATCTATATTTGTTTACCTTTGTCTTACGATATTTTGTCACCAAAGAACAAGTCACGATGATAGTTTGTAATGATCAGATTTTAAAAATATTCGTGTGTCAATACAAAGTTTAAAATCAAATTCAAAGATAAAATTAAATAGCATCTGCCATYGTGATCACTGATCATAAATATATAAATCGAGTTTATTTTTATATTTTTTAATTTACAACTTCTTCATAATAAATGAATTATTATGATATATTAAAAACTTTGTATACAGATGATATAAAAAAAAACCAAACTCCTATAATTTTTGGTAAATATTTTTTTTTTCGACGAATAATTAAAATTATTACGCACCATAAGTATAACAATATGTGAAATKCATGAAATATTATACAGGTATAATTATATATTATTAAAATATTTAATACTAAACGATTAGTAAAAATATTTAGGTATAAAGACCGATTACAAAATATAACTCAACAATAATCATATTGTTTGATGTGTTATTTTCGATTAATAAATTCATACCCACGCTAGTAAATGATTTCCAAGTACATCAGAAATATTGTGTTCACGCTAGACATATTTTACGGAGTAATATTTTATAAATTATGACACAGAATTGACACATTCGTATCTTTTTAATGTACACTATTTTAGCATTAACATCAAGTTTAGTATCAATGTACCTCACATAAAATATATGCAGAGGGATAAAAAAGGAGTGAAAAAAGTTCTTTAACACATAGAGGTAGTGCATTCATAAGTTTTCTTCTATACAATTTACCTATAATAACTGAATTCTATACTAATTATATATTATGTAATGAATACATTMAAAAATGGGTGTGCCCTTTAATTTGTTTGAAAATTAATAAATAATCCGATTATTATTTTTGTTATTATACTTAAAGTTTACAATAGCCATGTAACATTCAGTTGAATATATTTGTTTTATGTATTAT